CACCTTCGTGGTGGTCAGCATTGGCTCGGTGTCGAGGAAGACCTTGAGACCGTTGTTCACCATCTCGATTCTGAACTCTCCTTCGGCTGAGAACACAGTTGGCATCTTGACCTTGGTGATGAGTGGAAGACCAATGGTGGTGGGGATCTTCTTGATGGTCTCGAAGAGGAACGTGAAGGTGTGCAGCTTGAACTCCGGATCGCGATTGAAGAGGCGTTTGAGTTCTTCGGTCTCAAACCTTCCATACCTGATGAATTTCTCTAGAAGATTGTCAATCATCTCCTCGTTGATGGGCAGGACCGCATAGTCCATGTCTTTGTAGCGGAGGTAGAGCATGACGTGAGGAGTGCGGGTGTCGACGACACGAGGACGGATGTTCAGCTTCTTCGCGATCTCCTTCAGGATGTCCATGGATTCGCGGATGCGGCGTCCGCGAACAACGGTGTCGACTTCTTCTCTCTCCATTCTGACAAGTTTGTTGGTGATCTTCTCAATCAGTTTCTCGATGTTTTGCTGTGAGAATCCGAGCTGGAAGAGGTACTTGTTCCACATTCCGTTGAAGACGGTGTCGAGTGACATCATGACTTCCTTTGGCCAGACAGAGTTCTTTCCGAAGATCGTGGCGAAGTCCATGTTGATGCCGCTCATCACATCCTCAGTGAACATGGGCATGTATCTGTAGGTGCTGGTGAGCAGGCGCTCTCCGCGCACATATCGGGTCATCTCCAGCAGAGGTCGGATCTCCATTGCCAGCTTCTTGTAGCAGGTGTGGGTGGTGTGCATGAAGGAGTGGAGCAGGTCGTAGGTGAACATAGCTACCTGGTGGTTCGGCTCGCGCTCCATGGTGTGGATGATCTGGACAATGATTGGCTGGTGTGGAAGGGTGTGCATGATGCGGACGAGAGCTGCCATTCTCAGTTCTGGCTCCTCATGGCGGTTCTTGTAGATCGGCATCAGAATGGACTGGATCTTGCGTGGCATCACTTCTCTGAGAAGGCGGAGGGCATCAATGGCCTCCATGCGCACAGGCAGTTCTTCGCGCTTGTTCACAATGATCTTCTCGAGTTCGTAAGCAGACAGGTCGATTCCGGCGTTGGCCAGCCATTTGAGGCAGAGCACCTTCTCGTAGATGGTCTTAGCGTTGTCATACTCTCTCCTGAAGATTCTGAGATAGTGCTCCTTCAGGCGAGTCCTTTCCTCCTCGGTCATGCGCATCATCCTTTCCCTCATCATCATCTCTTCCTTGGTGTGTCCGACGACACCGCGCATCACAGATCCGATGGTGAGCCAGCAGGCCTGGCGGATGACTGGAGAACGCTTGACGACATCTCTCTCAAGGAACTTGAACAGCTCCTCAACAATCATTCT